CAAAAATAGAGTAAGCTTTTCATTCAAGGCTTACAAAAGAGAAAATATAGCAAACATATTCACATTTGTGTCTCCTTCTTAAAGTAAAATTAGAGTTGTTAACAGATGCAAAACAATTCTGAAAACTTATTGCCCAATAAGGACCTAAAGGATGAGAGTTATCAGTGTCTCTTATTCTTATTTTATATAATAAATGACCACCATGAATTCTACAGCACAAATGACCAGCTAATTTAATGGCTCGATTTTTCATCTTAGAATGAAGTGAGATTTCATTCATTGCCATAGCCTGCTATTCAGTAAACTTTTTGCCAGTCTAAACTTTAGCTAAATTAATCTACTTACAGAAACATTTTAAAACATCAACTCACCAGGTATGATTTACTGAAAACAATGATTTTTGGTTTATGGTTTTATTTGAGGCAGCAAGTCACATTAAATAATCAGAAAAAATTTTACAATACTTCAAGTTCAAAATAGTTTTTTAAATTCGTTGTTTTGTTTACCTAATAGACATGTCTTCTGTAATGTAATAGATTTCACGAACCATGACTTTCCCAGAAAGAACAGAGAAAGAGAAGGAGCCTGTTACAGGAAAACAACAACAGTGATTAATGTAACTGTTTTGATAGTAGAGCCCTCAAAGCTTAAAACAATCCTAGCATTCAATTCATTCAATAATAAATGTTCCCTGACTGCCTTCCTAATATCCCTAGAGCTTACTAATCCCTATCATTCTTTCTTCAGAGAGTGTGACAAGTATCATCATTATGGACTGAGCTACTAAATAACCATATGAGGACATCAGTTTAAATAGCTGCTTCATATGACTAATTCCTTTAATTATGCTCAGCCATTAAATGAACCCAAAGCAATGATTAACTCACATTTCCCTCCATTAATTCGGGTGACTCCAGGAGCCAGTCATTGCCTCAAATTAATGGAAGACTACTGGTGCTTGAGAGAAGTTTATTTATGTCCACTAACCAGTACTCAACTCTAAGGAGTTGAGAATGGTTCTAATTCAGGGTCCCCTCTCCCCTTTTCCACTGCTTTAGGGCTTTCCAAAGCATAGTTTCCTAATACACCCTCCCATTGATCTGCAATCCTCCCATTTACAAGTAGTCAGAAACTAAATTAATAAAGCAGGCCACAAAATGAAATACACAAGATGATTCTAACTTACAGATTTTTAAAGTATGGGTTACTTAAAAAAGAAAAATAAACAGCAAAATCTTCATCGAGATTAGAAACTTACTCTATATTTTTCAAATTATTTTAATGAGCATCTTTTCTAAGCAAAGAAAAGTAAAAAAGTTGCTACAGAAACACTTTCAAAACATAAGAATGAGGTAAAGTACAAAACCTGTCATAGACTGCTGCATGACAGAAATTCCCATTAAAGCAGTGTAACCTTCAGAAACAAAGGAAATTTCTAAAGCTATGACCTGCTTGTAAAATATAAATTTATAACACACACCTCAGGATTATGCAGAAGAAAAAAATGCAGTGTGACTCAAACTTACCAATATGGATATAGCCATGTTTGTATAATCTGTTAAGAACCAATGTTAAAATAAGACCAACATTCCGAGAATTATAGTATGTGAGATAAATAATCCATCCACAGGACAAAATGGTAGCTGTTGGGAGAAAAAAGTGCAAAAGGATGTCTTTCAATCACCTTAATATCTCAGGAAAAATTTGTTAGTAGATCATTTACCACATTCAGAAATCATAGCATTTACTTCCATACGGTAATATGTCCTCTTACAATTTAACTTGAAATTTTAAAGTCAGAGGTTGAGTCTATTTTATCAAACTTTCCTCATTCTCTTTTAGTCATTAACCAGAAAAGCAAAGATTCTAATCAGATCAATTGAAGTAATCTTTCCTTTTTTTCTGTTTCCTTTTTCACTGCTTTTATTGTTTTAGTTATCAAACATATGTTAAGATGTTCTGAGACAAGAAAGCACATATTTCTGAATATTCTGAAAAACATCCACCTTTATTAGGAAGGCTAAAAGCTCATCCCCAAACTATCTCCTAAAGACTAAAAAAGAAAGAAAATTCATATTTTTTTGAATCAGAGAAAAGTCATCATTTTTTTAAATAAACAGACTCTTCTTTTTAAAAAGTAATGGAAATAAGTGGGCATTTTAGCCTACTTAAAGGCACATCTACATTACATAGGACAGCTTTTACTATTTGGCTGTAATTGATGAGACTAACCTACTTGTACTGAATATGTTACAGCAAATGATATTCCAAATTTGACCACTTTTCATGAAGTTTATAGTCACTTGTAAAATTTATAATATTCCAAAAAAAACTAGCTCATGAATATATAAAAAGTAAAACACAAAAAAGCATTTTCTGATAATAATTTTTTTAACTCACCCATTTAAAAAGTATTACTGTTTTCTAAATTAGGATACAGTAACATAAAGCAATTTAACGTGTGTAACCTTTCAGCAACATCAAATTAAGTTCTTACCTTTTTAAAAGAATTATTTAATATACATAAAACACAGCACTGAGAGTCAAAATACATCTCTCAGGGGAGCTTAGATTGATGGTAATAGCTTGGATGTAGCAAGTGCTATGACCTAGCCATAAAAATTATTTTTATGATTTATCATGTTTTAAGTTTAAAGTCATTTTGTATTTTTTTTTAATGTAAATTATTGTGCCAACAGCAGGTGGTTGTGGGTCATTCAGAAAGGCAAGAGGTATTTGCTGAGAAAATACGCTTCTAGTATCAAACAGCCCAGGGACTGCGGCATTGTATCATGCCCCACCCCACCCCCAACCCCACCTTCAATATCATAAGGCCACTAGTAAAACTGTGAGATTAAACAATCCAATATTTTTCTGCTGTTTTTTCCCTTAAAGAAAGGAATTCTACACAACAGAAAACTTGAAATTCTATGTGATAGGAGAAGGGATAGGAAATAAGGAAGAATTCTGCCCTTAATTAATCTAACAGGTGATCTTCAACGCTGCTTTTATGAAGTTCTATTTCATACTAATGGTTTGCATTTTATTTTACTTTTTTGGTTTTCATTAATGATAATTTACAACAGTTCCCTTTCATCAATTAAAAAAAACAGAACTCTAAGTTTAAATGGTCACCTAATCCTACCTACAAATCATGAATCATTACATTCCTTCTATATACACTCCATCTCTGCCCATGTCCCTACCGCACGTCCTGTGGTGTCACGAGGGAAGCGCAAAGCACATGGGTCGTGACTCCCAAACATGCTGAAAGGAATAAATAACCTACCAAGTTCGCTCTGAGCAGCCAGTGAGACGATGCGTGATGTGCGCACACAGAGACGCTCAACGACCATCACTGCCCCCCTTTCCTCTCTCACCCCATCTTACCCTCCTGCTTTTCTATCCACCTTGTCGTCGCTACCCACAATTCAGATCAAATCCTGGGCTCCACAGAAGCTTCCTGGGTCACAGCATGCAGTCATCTCTCCCTTCCTTGGTATGTTTTTGTTATTTCTCCCCCTTATTTGTTCATTTTCACTGATAGTCCATCCCTCTTATTGCCATTATACAGTTTTGTGTTATTTGTATGTACTTAGAAAACTTTTTATTAGACATATTAGACAAATATTAGACAAAAAAGTATTACTACTAGAGCCCACTACCAAGTGTGTAAGGGGTAAGGGAAGAAATGAGGTTAATTAGGTGTATACATTCTATTTTATTCTAAAAATGCATTTACCATGAGGATGAATCACTTTTACAACAGAGCTAGCAAAAGTGTTTGTGTGTGTTGGGTGGGGGTGGAGGAGTGGCCCTGGAACAGGAAACAGTGCAATTTCTCTCCTCTCCGCCCCTAAGTCAGACAAGCAGGCAGCCTCAGAAAAAGAGCCCTCCAGAGCAGTTCCCAGAGCAAGCATTCAGAGAAATACGCTGCAAGCATTCCAACTTCAGCCAACCACTGCTGCAAACTCCGCAGCTGTTAATCCATACATAAAAAGCAGTAATGTATAAGGCAACATATCCTACTTACCAACAAGGAGCCAAACAACATTGGAATTGTGTTCTGTAAGAAAATCCTCTAACTGAGTGATACTAGGGACAATACTGTCATTCTTCCTTTGATCCATCACTGAAGTTTTTCCAGAGCAGCATCTAAAATTTCAAAGGTTAAATTTAGAATCAGAGATTTATTAATCTGCAAGGGAAATTATGTACACGGGGAAAAGGTGAATTTAGTAAATATGAAATTTTATTAAATCACACTCTGCTTCCTTTAATGATAAGCCTGCAAAAATACAAACGACAAAACATGTCCACAATTCTATATAAAATATACAACAATGTATCATATTTTTAATGACTTGATTCCACCACACTAAGTATGAGTAGAGACTCAGTTCGGTTATTATACTCTGGCTCCAAATAAGAAGGACATCATTACTCTAAAACCTAATCAAAGATATTTATCTCATCAATAAGAAGAGACTAAGAATTGTGAAAATTAAGCAAGAGAAACCTCATTTAAAATGGAGCCGGGAGGCCAGGAGGGGGAGCCCTCTCACTCTGCCACTCAATGTCAATTACAGACCCCCAACAAAACGGCCTCAATTACAGATCCGGTCAGGAAGAGACTAGCCTTGCAAGTTATACTACTTTACTACTCCAGCAGGTGGAAGGAAGATAATATTTGAATGAAATAAATGCATCATTATAAAAGTACATAATTATGAATTACTGCTAAAGATAAGCAAGTATTTCCAAAATGTTCAGAGCCAAAGAGACTCCTAAGAGATCCATTTCACCCTCAAGAAAATACAATGTTATATGTCAGATATATCTCAATAAAACTGAGAGAAAAAACGCTCTCATATTTTTCAAAGCTTTGAAAAATCCATCAACCAGCAACTTAAAATATAGGGGCTAACTTTACAAAATGAACTTTTTTTTCTTCCTTTTTTAGTTTTCTAAACTAAAAAATAAAATAAAACTTTTAAAAGGGAGGAAGCACTTTGAAAAGACCTATAATCTAAAACCAAATACTCACACATAGAACAGTTTACATGTTACAAAATAACACCTGTACTTATTTCACACTTATTTTCACTATTTCACACATGTATCACCTGCTGACACCTGGGGATATTCCATGAGGGATGTGTCCCAGCATTCAGCTTCCCACATAAAAAGAGGACCCATTTTGAAGCAAATCCAAGGGGAAGTGACCTGTCCACCAAAAGGATCAACAGTCCCCATCCCAAATGGGGACTCCTACCCATAGCCCAAAGAAAATTAGGAACAGGGGTCCAGGCTGCAAAGATGGAAAATTGCGGCATCACACAGTTCTCACCAATGTGTTTCCATTTATGAGTTAATGCAAAACCTTTAAGGGAAATCAACAGATAAAGGCTCACTCGTTAAAAGGATACATTTCAAGCGAGCACAGGAGAAAAAGCCAGGACTTCACGAAGGCCCTAAAGTAAGACGTGGACATGCTGGCGCACAGAAGTCAGAGCAAGGAGGCTGCAGAGAGCCAGAGGCACTGGGCTACAGGCGCAGCCACACTGCGCGAGGGGCGCACCACCAGCTCCGCTGTGGAGGGACTGCAAGCTGACAACAGAAGCTGCTGCGTCATCTTCCTGGAGCAAATGACAGAATTAAACCAAACTGGCTGCTGCCTCTTCCTTTCCCTTCCAGAAGAGCTCAGTCTCAAAGCTACAGGGGAAGCAGTCAGGCGGCCATCTGCATGTGGGGGAGGGAGGGACAGCAGCCTCTGGCCTAGAGTGGATGCCAGAGCCCCAGGAGGGCACAGGAAGGATCCATTTGTGCCCAGAAGAGGCGAGTGGAAGAGCGGCCGCATTTCAGGGTGTTCGAGGCGGCCACACTTGCAAGGAAGCCTGAGGCACAGGGTGAGGAGCCTGCCAGGGAGGAAGAGGGCATCCACGGTGGGGGACAGGCAGGAGAGCAGGCCAGCTCAGGTGCCAGGGCTGAACGGAGTGACCAGGGCACCTGCGCGGCGGGATGGCCTGGTGCAGGGGTCAGAACCCACAAGGTAGGCCTCAACCCCCGAGAGAGAAGGAGAGTGACCATGGAGGAGGGTGATGATTGAAGAGGAGGACAAGCACCTGGGAGAGCGCCCAGGCCAGACGGGCTCTCTTAACCAAAGAGGTCAATGCATTAGACCATGGGAACCGAGTTTCTACCTGCGGAGGACGTAGTATATAAAGGAAGAAAGTTAGAATTAACGCTGGGGTGTTAGATAAGAGCTGGAGGCATAGTTTTCTATATAAATGGATATAGACATAATACAGCTGTAAATGTGTATGCATATATTCATTCACAGGTCCTGCGAGCAGAACACTCCAATAAAAAAGAGCAGAGAACTTTCCTTCTAAAAACCATTTTCTATTAAGAGAAAATGGGCTCTTTGAAGAAATGGCTGATTCCACAACTGGGCAAGGAAAGAGGAGGTGATTCCTGTAGTAAGGAAAGAGGTGCTTGAAGAATGACGGGAACGTGTCAAAAGGACACAGAAACCAGCATCAAGAGGCTCCCACTGCAAAATCTGGGACAATTTAAGCATCAAAATAAAAAATAGTAATGAATTACAACCCATTTAACAAAAAGGAATCTTTGAGTCCATATGAATAGAAATAATTAAATTTTGATAAGCAACAGGATACCCATATGGTCTCAAATAACTCCCCCTAAAAAAAATTATTATTAATGACCAAAGGGGGAAGGGGAGCTTTGAGAAAGCCAGTACTTAATTAAGTGATCAAAGTAAACAACATCAGCATTAGGATAAGTCAAAACTGCGCTCGTCAAGGGAAGAACAGGGCCTCCCCTCTAAGGTATTCCTGACAAAGATGTACAACCTCCCCTCTCCTGAGCGATCACAACCAATAGGAATTGTTTTGTTCAGGTGTGTATCCACAATGCCAGGGACAATGCCTGGAACACAGCCACTGTTTACAAATATCATTTTCAGCAGTGTTTTCATCTGTTACATAAGAAAATAACACCAATCTACATGTTTGAAGACATGCTCTCTCAATATTTTCATAATTCCTCTATATTCTCTTCATTCTTTCTGAAATCCATGGTATTCATTTCAAAACTGCTGTCCGCATTAGAAAAAAAAATGTGGTAATTATTATTTTAGTGACATAGAAAGAAAAGGATGAAAATGTGAAAATTTAATCAAACACAGCACAAACGAGAAATTTATCACAGTTCCTAATTTAACGCCACCACTACTACCACCCTTTCAAGAAATATCTTTCCAAGAAAGATTATGTTCCACGATGAATTATCTGTACAATCTTTTCAAACAGTACATTCAAACTATTTTATTTCTCTCCCACTGGTATAAACGAAGTAAAATCATCTAACATCTAATACTTGCATCAGGAGACTTTTAGAGATAGAATTTCAAATTGCGATTTTGGTCTTTCAAAGATCAGCCTACAAATCAATACAAAAAATACAAATAAACCTGATAGAAAAATGAGTGAAATATATCAATAAGCAGTTCAGAGAAAGTCAGTATCACTAGCAATTGGGGAAAATCACCACTTATCACTCACTAGTTACCTAAGTGACAATGAGAAAGGTTGCAAACAACTATATTGGCAAAAGTACAGGAACATGGCATGACTCATACTCTGCTGAAGAGCGTAAATCTCTTGGAGAAGAACAATTTATCAGATACTATAAAAAGGTATCGCTTTCACTTGGACATCAGGTCTAGGCTCCATTTCTCAGAAATGCTCGAGCATAAAGTATTTTTTTAAGAAAAACCCTGCATCATTATATATCGTACTGAAAAACTGGAAAAAATGTCAAGTATTGGAAAATAGTTGAACTACAGGATACTCTTACTATGAAATAATACACAGACTTCCTAAAAGAAGGAGAGCCCTATGTGGGCTGACACAGAACTGTCCAGGTCACATGTGATGTTAGCGGGGAAAAGCAGGTTGAGAAACAAGATGTGTAGTATTTCGTTTACGTTAAAAAACAGACTCCCCATTATTTCATATACACACCACCTATGCATATGTGAGCACATATGTGGTGTATGTGTATGTACACACATGTATACATATTTGTACTGTTTTTAATCTGCAAAAACATGAGCAAAGCCACAAGTGGTGACTCCAAGACAGCAATGGGTGGAGATATGGGGAAAGAAGAAGAAATCAGTGAAGCAGGACTTTCACTTTCATTACTCTTCATACTTAGGTGTTATTTAAATGTTTTACAATTGGCATATAATACTTCCATAATTTAAAAAGGAAAAGGGGAGAGCGGTGGCTGGAAGACAAGACGTGGCAGGTGGGAAAGGGGCTGGCTTTTGACAAAGAGGAACATTTCCTTCATCTGAACAGGAAGAACACAGGAAAGGATGGACCCAGATTCAAGGACGTTCCGGGATGGAAAGATGAGAGAATCTGATGGCTTCCATATGTTTGTAAATTATAAGTTAAAGTTTACATCTATTAAAACCTCTTCTATTGCATTCTTTCTTTGTTGGTTCCCATTACAGTTCCTTTTCCTCTTCTACTTTTCTTACATTTTAATCTGTGTTTATAACAACGGCAGAAGGAGGGCCCTACCAGAGGGTGGGAGCTGAAATATGGATGAGAGGGCCTTCATCCGCTGAGAAGGGGAATGGGAGGAAGTACATGGTCTGTGCACCTGTCCACAGGTCCTCAAGAAAACCTCACTGCACTGCTCATCCCCTCCCAGGCCTACACTGCTCCTTCAAAAGGAGTATCAGCCCATAATTTGACACAGGGTTGCAGAAATAAGGTTTTCCTGTAACAGGCTTAAACTTGACTATGTCTATATAACTACCTATGGCTGGAGAAGACCTCGCTGTGAAGAGCCACAGCTTACCCTGCCACTGTCGTGAGGAAGTAGCTGCTTGAGCTTGATTATTTGGAGCACATAGTAAGACAGTGCATGATAACATAGGGCTACTTTTGTTTGTTTACTCATTCAATTTATATTTATGGAACTTAAAAATCTGACTATACAGCTAAGGAATTCTGAATAGTAGGCGTAAGATTGGGAATATTTACAACGATCTTAATAGGATGACTGACAATACAGAAAATGCTACATAAAGGCCGTTTGAATGAAGACCT